AGACACATTGAGTTACACACGATTAGATAATCTGGCTAATGTGCTGAAGTTCACTTACCTTCAGCTTGTGGCTCATCCCAGCGTCCCGCTCTCCCAGCTCCCTGTTGCTTTCCAGATGATGCATGGCATTGTGATACCCGCCATCAAGGAGGATGAGTACACAGGGGTCTGTTAAGTCATTCCGTACACTATTCTAGATATTCGAAGTATATTTTTTTAAAAGACTTAAAATGAGGAGTAAAAATACATTTTCAGACTGTCACCAGCTAACACTTTCATCCATTAACACTGACCTCGCATGCATTAAATAACACTTAGAATGTTTTACCTAAAAAGTAACAAATAACTTGACTTGCTCATTCTTATATTTAAACACTAATTTTTTTTAGACAAAGTCTCACTCTGTTACCCAGGCTGGAGGGCAGTGGCACGATATCGGCTCAGTGAAACCTCTATCTCCCAGGTTCAAATAATTTTCATGCCTTAGCTTTCTCAGTAGCTGGGATTACAGGCATGTGGTGCCAATTGTTGTACTTTTAGTAGCTAATGTCTTTGTATTCTTAGTGAAGACGGGGTTTCACCATGTTGGTCAGGCTGGTCTCTAGCTACTGGCCTCAAGCAATCTGCCTGACTTGGCCTCCCAAAGTGCTGGAATTACAGCCATGAGCCACTGTACCTGGCCCTAAAAATTAATTCTTGCCTTGAATAAAGAATCATGGAGCACACTAAGCTGTTGTTCAAAAGTAACGGACAGGAAAGATACACCGTATTTATGGCTTGAAAGAATCAACATGGTAAAGATGTTGGGTCTGCCCACATTGATCTATAGATTTAATGTAATCCCTGTCAAAATCTCAGCAAGGTTTTATGTATACATAGATAAGACTATTTTTAAATTTATATGGAAAAGCCTTAAAATGGCTAGAAAGAATCTTGAAAAGAGAATAAGGCAGGAGAAATCACTCTATCTGGTATTAAGGCCTACTACATAGCTATAGGAATTAGAAACTGTGTTACTGGTGAAGGGCTATGTGCTATTGATGCAGAGGTCAATGGAACAGAAGAGAAAACCCAGAAATAGACCCACACAAATATGTTCAACAGATTTTTCATAAAAGTGAGAAACCAATTCAATGGAGTGAAGATAACCTTCTCAACAAATGAAGCCGGAGTAACTGAACATCCGTAGGTAAAAAAATGAAACTTGATCTCACACCTTACCAGAAATTAACTCAGAATGGATCACTGACTGAAATGTAAAACATAAAATTATAAACCTTTTGAGAAGAAGGGCCAGGTGTGATGGCTCATGCCTGTAATACCAGCGCTTTGGGAGGCCAAGGCGGGTGGATCACCTGAGCTCAGGCATTTGAGACCAACCTGGCCAATATGGTGAAACCCCGTCTCTACTAATACAAAAATTAGCTGGGTGTGGTGATGCATACCTGTAATCCCAGCTACTCTGGAGGCTGAGGCAGAAGAGTTGTTTGGACTCAGGAGGTGGAGGTTGCAGTGAGCCGAGATCGCACCATTGTTCTCCAGCTTGGGTGACAAGAATGAAACTCAGTCAAAAACAAACAAACAAACAAACTTTTGAGAATAAGAAAGCAGAAAACCTTGGGCATCCAGGGCTAGGCAAATAATTTTTACACTTGACTCATCTAAGAAGCTGCATATAGATGGAGGATGGGAGTGGGATGTGCAAGGTATGGGTTTGCTGAAGGCTTGAAGATCTTGCCTTCTCTTTCTTCAGGGCAGTATATATGCAATGAAGCATTTGCTGCTTCTATTTCAAATGGAAAATTATACAACTACATGTCTTCTTCACTATTTTCCCTCCCCAGAACCCTAGGGTCTGCAGCATTAGAATTATTGGTCCCCAAAGGGGACATGCTCACCTGGAAACCCAGGAAGGGACCCACCAAATACACCTTATGACTGCTCCCTAGGCACTTTGGGATCCTTGTGTCCAGGAACCAGTAGATAAGACAATGGGTGGCCATCTTGTTAGGGACTATGTTTTGGTTTTGTTCCCACCCAAATCTCATTTTGAATTGTAATTCCCATAATCCCCCTATGTCATTGGAGGGACCAGGTGGAGATAATTGAATAATGGGGGTGGTTTCCCTCATCTTGTTCTAATGATAGTGATTTCTTACACGATCAGATGGTAAGAAATCACTATCATTCATTCTCCTCATTCATGCTCATTCCTGCCACCCTGTGAAGAAGGACGTGTTTGCTTCCCCTTCCGCCATGATCGTGAGTTTCCCAAGGCCTCCCCTGCCATGCTGAATTGTGAGTCAATTAAACCTCTTTCCTTTATAAATGACCCAGTCTTGGGTAGTATCCTTGCAGCAACATGAGAATGGATGAATATAGGGGCAATTGACTTGGTGAGCAGAAGGAGGCTGGGCTGCTTTCACACAATGAGGACAGAGAATAACATGGGTGGAGCTCAGGTGACTCAGGTGGGTACCTCTTGGTACTTCTTACACAACTATGTCTGTGAGTGGACAAGCACAAGCAGCCCCAACCTGAAAAGGAAGGATATGGTTACCAAGGGCTCAGACTCCAACCCCACTCCAAGGGATGAGGATTAGGGTCACACCACTGGGTAAGCCACAGAGACCAGTAGAAGAGGTAGCACAGGGCAAGGGAAAGGTAGAATGGATAGTGAAGGAAGGAGATGATGAGTGTCAATTGCAGCCCTGAGACTGGAGGAAGTAACAGGGCTGTTTGTTTTACTAACCTCCTTCTTCTAAGCTTGCCTGCGGGCGGAGTGGGGGGGGTGGTCAATGCAACTTTATAATAGCCATCCAAACTCATTGGTCTGTGTTTATCATTCCTCCAATATATTTCGAATGCCTGAGTCACTGCACTAGTCAACATGCCAGCCCAGCTCACTGCTGGTGAAAAGTTTAGCAGTTGGGCAGCCACTTTGCACTAAAAGCTGCCTGTACACCGTCTCCTTACCACCTGGGTATGGAGGGACCAAGTCCTCAAACTCCATCTTAGCTTTCTTGTTTTTTTTTAGACAGAGTCTCAATCTGTTGCTCAGGCTGGAGTGCAGTGGCGTGATCTCAGCTCATTTAACCTCTGCCTCCCAGGTTAAAGCAATTCTTGTGCCTCAGCCTCCCAACATAGCTGGGATTACAGGTGTGCGCCACCATGCCTGGCTAATTTTTAGCAGAGATGGGTTTTCGCTATGTTTGTCAGGCTGGTCTCAAACTCCTGGCCTCAAGCAATCCACTCCCCTTGGCCTCCCAAAGTGCTGGGATTACAGGTGTGAGCCACTGTGCCTGGCCCCCATCTTAGCTTTTTGAGCAGGCTTTTTCAGACCACTTCTGGTGCCAACTATTGTTGGATCCTCAGAGAAGCAGACACCAAGACAGAGTCACTATTGCAAAAGCTTTATTGGGAAATAAGACTTGTAAAAGGAAAACGAAGGAGGCAGATGGGACAGGGAAAGCCTCTGGCTCATAACGCAGACCTGACAAGGTCTCTCTGGAACAAAGACTGCAGGTTGGAGGAATCCTGTATTGGGCGGAAATGAATAGGCTCCTGGGTCCCCACCTTGCTTAGTCGCTGAGCCCAGGCTTCCCCAAGAAGAGGGCTTGACAGCAGTGGCAACCCCTCAAAGAACCAAAGGAACTGTCATGAACCACGCTCATCAAAGCTGCATGTCATGAACCACGCTCATCAAAGCTGCACAGCAAGTCCTTTCTGGAAGAGGGATCTGAACCTGCATGCATCTCCACAGCCGCCATCTGGGGCACTTCTTACCCCACTGCTTGTCAAGTGATCCTTTATTGAAATATTTTCCTTTGTGCTTCTTAACAAGCTGGGCATTCCACTGCAGCACTGCTGATGTTATGAGGGCGATGGCCATCAACATTGTAGCCCACAGATGGGGCCATCCCCAGGGTCTCTTTAATTGTTCCAGAGAGTTCTCTAACTAAAGATCGGTGCTGCATCTGTCAGGCAATGCTGACATTCTCATCAGGTGATATTTCCATTGTGTTTAATGTTTTTCTGTTTCTTTTTGTCTCCCGGAGTTTCCTTGCGGGCTTTGATGATCAGGGCAGAGGCAGAAGGTACTACCTCAATCTGCGCCTGTCTGTTCTGAATGGTCAGTTTCACTGTAATCCTCAGATCCTTCAAGTCACCGGTTGCCCTGGCAATGTCGTTACCTATGTGTTTTGGAGACAGACACGGAGGTTGATCTTCAGGGCCAGCACAGATGTGGTACCAACATAATTTCCAGGGCACTTTGGACTTTAATCTTTTTGGGGTCAAACTTAGGTAGCATGGGGGAGGTAGCTGGTGTTAAATGAACCTGGATTCAGGACGAACAAAGAAAGTTGCACACTGGCCTATTCCCAGCTAAAAACTGAAAGCTGGGCACTTTTTCTCATGGCAGACACAGGCACAGCTGAGCAAGGCCAAAGGTACAAGCACAGGCCCAGCCCCTGCTTGCATCACATCTGCTAACACCCAGCTGGCTGGAGCGAGTGAGATGGCCCACCCTAATGCCAAGTTCAAGAAAGTACACTCTGCCCACCATGAGGCCACGGCAAGGGTGGGTGTGCAGCACGGGAGTGAAGAATTGGGATGAATAATTAGATTCACACAGGATAAAGGTCCTTTGGAAACGGTTGAGCTCTGGCCGCATTAGTTACCATGGTTACTATTACATTATTAGTTACTATTATTACCACCTGTTCAGGAGACCAGGTCCCCTAAGCCAAGTGGTGTCACAGACAGCTCTCAGGAAGGACTATCACTTGAGGAAACACTTAAGATCAGCTTTGGGATCTACAATTCAAAACTGCAGTTTGGGGTTAGAAAAGATCAAACGGAGCACAAAGCAACCACCACACTATACTCCCAAAGCCCCTGCCAGGCAGCTCCAGGGCTGGCCCAGCGGATCAATAGCAATCTGGGGTGCTAGGGAGGGCGCCATCTGAGTAGTTCAGATGAACTGAACATGATGAGTTGCCAGCAGCTTCCCGAGTCCTTGGGGAAGCACGCGCACCATCCACTTAGTGCTGGAGCCTGGCTGTTCTCCGGGCACTCCTACCCCGTCTTCCTGGCGGGGCTTAGATGCTCCTGCCTCTTCCACCAGCTCCTCCTGCCCTGCATGCTCCAGGGAGGATGGAGGCTTCCAGGCACCCCCAGGCCAGGAGATGCTGCCCAGAGGCCCTGGGAAAGCTCTTCCCTGGCCTCTGCTTCCTCTGCTTTCTGGTGACCTACGCCCTGGTGGGTGCTGTGCTCTTCTCTGCCATTGAGGACGGCCAGGTCCTGCTGGCAGCAGATGATGGAGAGTTTGAGGAGTTCTTGGAAGAGCTCTGCAGAATCTTGAACTGCAGTGAAACAGGTAGGTGCCTCACCTGGACAGGGTGGGCCTTTTCTTTGTGGTGGCAGCAGTCCCCCGAGAGCAGAGGGCTGCCTTCCAGGAGCCTGGGTCCAGGAGCTGCCTGCTTGTATCCTCCTCATGTCTGGGCACTTTAGGCAAGTAACCTCTTTCTTAGCCTCCGTTTTCTTCTCTGAAGTGTAGGGAGACTAGCTGCCTCTTGGGGTTGCTGTGAAGAATGCAGGAAGAGCCCTGAGCACCCAGGAGGTGCTCGGGAAGACCAGCTCCCCTTCTTGTGCCTCTGCTCCCACCCCCATCCAGACCAGCAGGCTCAGGGGAGGATGGATTCCCAGGGATGGCTGGGGTGGGGTGCACGGGTAAGCAAATCCAGGGCTGGAGTTGCCGGGCCAGGTTGGTTCTCAGAACTATGTCTGCCTGACCCAGGATGCAGTTTGCAGGGATGAGAATTTAGGGAACAACCCAAATTGGGTTTGAATCCCAGCAGAAGCACTGGACCCCCATACCCCCACTTCCTCTTCCAAATGCCTTTTCTCCTGTCTGGCTCAGGAGAGTTGGGAGATGCTGTGAGAAGACCTGGGGGAAGTGGGGGCAGGTCCTGGCTCTTGTCCCAACTGCTCTCTCAGCTTGCTCTGTGATCCACGGAGGCAAAGCTTTGTTCTCTCTGGGTCTCAGTCTGCAGGAGAGAAAAGGACCCCCAATCTCAGGCCTGCCAGTCACAGGGACCCTGTGAGAAGCACAGGAGACAAGGAACACTCAGGATCTTGGAAGACAGAAGGCACTTGATAGTGTCCTCATTGCGTTTTATTCACATTTAGTTACTTGTTTCTACCCTGCTCTGTTCCACAAAGGAAGCTTGTTATTGTAGTCAACAGAGCAAGATAAAACAAGGGAGAGTAGATAAATAAAAGACAAAGGGAAACCAGACTCTAAAAGTCAGAAAAGCAGGGTGCAGGGAGCTCCTCCCCTCCACTCCCGTATGGGGGCTCCTCCCACAGCGCCCAGCTTGCTTTGGGAACAGTTGCAGCTCCCAGAGACAAGAGGCTGGTCCAGGGAGGCAGTCTCCTGTCTGTGGAGGGTCCCACTCCCTGCATCTTTGCCAGACTGATGCCAGTCTGCTCTGTGGATCTGGAAAACTGCTGCCAAATGGACACTTGGCCATGGTAGGGTCTAGACTATCAGCAAGTTCAAGTCTCTCCAATCCAGCAACACATCAGAATCACAGGGAGGCTGCCTAAAGTACACATTCCCAGGCTCTTCTCCAAACGCGCTTAATCAGAATCTCCAGGGCTGGGTTGAGAATCTTATTTTTAAAGTTTGCAGGATAAGGCCAAGCATGGTGGCTCACGCCCATAGTCCTCACAGTTTGCGAGGCCAAGGTGGAAGAATCATTTGATGCCAGGAGTTTGAGACTAGGCCTGGGCAACAAGGTGAGACCCTGTCTCTACAAAAGATTTTAAAATTTAGCCAGATGAGGTGGCATACACTTGTAATCCCATACACTTGGGAGGCTGAGGCAGGAGGATCACTTGAGCCTAGGAGTTTGAGGCTACGGTAAGCTGTGATTGTGCCACTGCACTCCAGCCTGAATGACAGAGCCAGACATGTCTCTAAATAAATACAAATAAAGTTTCTCAGGTGATTCCAGTGCACAGCAGGGTATGGGAACACAGAGCTGGTCCCACTCCATTTTGTATGGATTTTCACTGGGGATTAAAATGTTCCATAGGGTTAGTCATGTGTAGACCCTGTGGCAAACACTTCACACAGGATCTCCCCTAATCCTCACAAGAACCCTGTGTGTTGGGTAGAAGTGGTCTCTTTTTCACAGATTAAGAAATTGAGGCCTTGGGAGGTTGAGCAATTTGTTCAAGTTTGCAAACCAGACAAATGGAGCCAGGGATTTAACCCCATGTGTTTGGATTCCAGAGCCTGACCTTTCACCACTATCTCATGCTGTCTCTGATGGGGAAACTGAGGCTCAGAAAGCAGCCTCTTGTCCACAGTCACAGAACTTGTCAGGGTCAGAGCTGGGTCTGGAATTCAGGTGTGTAGGCTCCCAGGCTGCTGCCAATTAAAATGAGTAGCAACGTCCTGCTGGATGCCAGGCTCAGTGCCGTTCTCTGCTGGCCAAACTGCAGACTAGCAGGGGCCTCGGGGGTCCCAAAGCCCACTGGCTGCCCAGGCCAACTGAGCCATTTGGGAATCTCCCCAGGAAACCAGGGTTCCCGACCCTGCTCTGTTGGGCCTGGGAAACAATGTTTAGGAAGTCAAGTTTCCCAGCCCTGGAGGAGACACTCACTGGCAGCTCGTACCCACAGCCCACAGTATGATAATATGGTTATCAAAGTCCATCAAGCTTTTTTAATTTTTATTTTTAGACGGATACTCACTCTGTTGCCCAGGCTGGAGTGCAGTGGCATGATCTCAGCTTACTGCAACCTCCACTCCCCAGGTTTGAGTGATCCTCCTGCCTCAGCCTCCCAAGTAGCTGGGACCACAGGCGTGTGCCACCACGCCTGGCTAATTTTTGTATTTTTAGTAGAGACGGGGGCCTCACAATGTTGACCAGGCTGGTCTCAAACTCCTGACCGCAAAGGATCCACCCTCATCAGCCTCCCGAAGTGCTGGAACTACAGGTGTGAGTCACAGCGCCAGGCAAACTCCATCAAGTGCAATGACCTCCAGGAGTGGGTATGATTTGCCTCTGGGTAACAGCTTGCTTTTCCTGAAAGCCTTTTGCATTTAGTGCTTGAAAACCCTGTGTGAGAGGCAGGGCAGAAGTTGTCTTCCTCTGAGAGATGAAAGAAATGGAGGTTCAGAAAGTTAAAAAGCGAAGGCTGCACAGCAAAGCCAGGACTAAGCTCTGATGGGGCCCCCAGGGGCCTTTCTCTTAGTGCTCTTCTCCCAGGGCCCTGTGGCCTCCTCATCTCCATGGGGACCACAGGCAGGACCCAGGATGCAGAAATATTTTAAAAGGGCTGGGCGCGGTGGCTTATGCCTGAAATTCCAGCACTCTGGGAGGCAGCGGCGAGTGGATCATGAGGTCAGGAGTTCAAGACCAGCCTGGCCAAGATGGTGAAACCCCATCTCTACTAAAAATATAAAAATTAGCTGGGCATGGTGGCAGGCACCTGTAATCCCAGTTACTTGGGAGGCTGAGGCTGAAAATTGCTTGAACCTGGGAGGCGGAGGTTGCAGTGAGCTGAGATTGCGCCACCATACTTGTCTCAGTGACAGAGCGAGACTCTATCTCAAAAAAAAAAAAAAAAAAGAAATATTTTAAAGGAGGACTCCGATCACCAAGCTTTGGTGTTGATACTAACCACAGGACGAGGGGGCTGCTGGTCTTTGGGGAAGACGATCCCTTTCACCTGGGTGGGGCTTGTCTTGAGCAGAACCTTTCCCCCACACTCTTGGTCATGTCTTTCTCCAGTGGTGGAAGACAGGAAACAGGACCTTCAGGGGCATCTGCAGAAGGTGAAGCCTCAGTGGTTTAACAGGACCACAGACTGGTCCTTCCTAAGCTCACTCTTTTTCTGCTGCACCGTGTTCAGCACTGTGGGTAAGTGCAAAACCACAGTTCCCCCACAGTGGCCCCGGGAAGGGTGGGCTTCTGGGTGGCAAAGGACACTGGAATTGGGGTGTGGAGATGGCCCTCCTCTCCTTCCCTCCCTCCTTTCCTCAAATCTATATTGCACGCCTACAAACAGCAGCAGCTGCACTGGCTGACACTTTTGCACTGACGATGCATCAGGCCCTGTTTTAAGTCCTTTATGCTGATTAGCTCATCTAAGCCTCACCATGAGGTGGGTGCTGTTACTGTTCCCACACTCTAATAGATCCGTCAGTTTGGAAAAGTCATACAGTGCATGTGAATCTGAACCCAGCCACTTGGGTCTAGACCCAGCACCCCGCTGCCTCTCTCCATGTACAACTTACTGTGCACTTGGCACATAGAATCTGGGGAGACGCCTCCCTGTGCTTATGGGTAAAACTCTGGTTTTGTGGCCCCTTTGAGGACATGAGCATGTGGCTGGAGGGGAGAGATGGTCAGGAGACTAGTGGGGGATGCTGTGGGAATTAGGCCTCCTGGGCTGGGGGTGTGATGCCACTGGGCCAGCAGTAACTAAGGCCCCATTGGCAATTAAGGGCTCACTCCGAACTAGTTGGCCCATCCCCAGCTTTCTTTCTGGTGGGGCAGCAGCGGGGCCGGGTTGGAGGGGCCAAACCAGGCCTGGCAAGAACCTCTCGTGCCGGAACGGGAGTCACAGGAGATGGAAATGGTGGAGGTGCCCTCAGCCACAGGGCCGAAGCTCTTGGGTCAGAGCCCTCACCAGGACTGTGGCCTATCACTCAGCCCCTGCCCCTTTTGGCTGGCAAAAGGGACTGTGGCTCCTCTCCTCTTTCAAGAGAGAAGTACCCATCCCTAGGAGGGCCTGGCCCACAGAGGTCACAGAGAGAGGCTGGGGGCCTCACGCTAAAGTTCAGGGCCAGCCTGGGTTAGAGCTGTGTGATCTCCAGCAAAAGATGTCACCCCTCTGAGCCTTGCACTGGGATTCATAAGCCCTCCTAGACCTGCCTCTTAGGGTCAGCTGACGACTATACATGTCGGTGGCAGCCAGGATGCCCTCAGAAGCGACTAACAGAAAACCCGACTTGCTTAAACCGCAAGGAGAATGTCACCTTGCGAGTAAGAAGTCCAGTGGGAGGACAGCTCTAGGCTGACATGCAGCTCATGCCCAGTGCCATATGCAGTTGTGGCACTAGGCATCAGGTTTTCTCCATCCTTCTGCCCACTGGGCCACAAGAGGCAACCAAGGTCCACACCCCTTCTGAGCATAACTGTGTCTTCTATAGAAGAGGCTGCGTCTCTCTCCATGGTTCATCAGCGATGATGTCTTCCCGGGAGCCTCCCTGCCTCCTCCAAGCTGGTCCCAGGCAGGGGGATTGGAGCACTAGGGTGACTAAGACCAATTGGATCTGCTCCTAAATCAGCTTGGGGCACAGTGGCTTTGCAGGGAAGAAAGGAGGAAATGGCTGCTGGGCGGGCAACCGGTATCTGCTGCACCCAGCTTCAGAAATGGCCACACAGCCCCCAGAAAGCTCTCACAGTCCCCACTTGGTTTCACCCATTTGCCTGAATGCTTTTATTTAATTATTTAATTTGAGATGGAGTCTTGCTCTGTCACCCAAGCTGGAGTACAGTGGCGTAATATAGGCTCACTGCAACCTCCGCTTCCCTGGTTCAAGAGATGCTTGTGTCTCAGCCTCCTGAGCAGCTGGGATTATGGACGTGTACCACCATGCCCGGCTAATTTTTATATTTTTACTAGAGGTGGAGTTTCACCATGTTGGCCAGGCTGGCCTCAAACTCCTGACCTCAGGTGATTTGCCTGCCTCGGCCTCTGAAAATGCTGGATTAGAGGCATGAGCCACTGTGCCTGGCCTGGTTCACCTGAATGCTCATGCAGGCAGGGATGGGTAAGGGACAGAAAGCATAAGGAAAGCAGCTACACCGTTCAGCCCGTGCCAGGCATGGGGTCCGGGTGCTTCTCTTGTGCAATTCTCACCACAACCCCACAAGGTAGGTGCTGTGACTATCCCATTCTACAGACAAGTGGGCTCAGACTCTAAGAGGGAATCACTGTGAGCAAGTCACAGGCAGGGCTGAGGTCAAACTTAAAGCTGACCTTTCCAGGGGAACCCATAGCTCAGGGGATGTTTTAAGGAAACAACAGTTCCAGGAGAACAGCAACTGCAAGAAAGACTTGGAGATGTGCAAAGGGCTGGGAGTTATGGGGTTTACTTTGTCTTTTTGTATTCCTCAATAATTTTTTTCTTTTTTCTTTTTTTTTGAGACGGTGTTTCGCTCTTGTTACCCAGACTGGAGTGCAACGGCGCTGTCCTGGCTCACCGCAACCTCCACCTGCTGGGTTCCGGCAATTCTCCTGCCTCAGCCTCCTGAGTAGCTGGGACTACCAGTGCGCACCACCATGCCCAGCTAATTTTTGTATTTTTAGTAGAGACGGGGTTTCACCTTGTTGACCAGGATGATCTCGATCTCTTGACCTCGTGATCCACCCGCCTCGGCCTCCCAAAGTGCTGGGATTACAGGCATGAGCCACCGCACCCGGCCCTTTTTTTCTTTTTGAGACAGAGTCTCACTCTGTTGCGCAGGGTGGAATGCAATGGTGCCATCTCGGCTCACTGCAACCTCCGCCTCCCAGGTTCAAGAGATTCTCCCACCTCAGCCTCCTGAGTAGCTGAGATTACAGGCACCTACCATCATGCCCAGCTAATTTTTGTATTTTGGGTTTTTTTTGTTGTTGTTTTTGTTTTTTGTTTTTGGAGATGAAGTCTCACTCTGTCGCCCAGGCTGGAGTGCAGTGGCACGATCTCGGCTCACTGCAACATCTGCCTCCCGGGTTCAAGTGGTTCTTCTGTGTCAGCCTCCCGAATAGCTGGGATTACAGGCATGCACCATCACACCTGGCTAATTTTTGTATTTTTTGGAGAGACGGGTTTTTACCAGGTCAGCCAGGCTCGTCTTCAACTCCTGACCTCAGGTGATCCACCCACCTCAGCCTCCCAAAGTGCTGGGATTACAGGCGTGAGTCACCACACCCTACTTCCTTAAGAATTTAGATTGGTCCGGGCACCTTGGCTTATGCCTATAAGGAGACCAACCTGAAAATATAAAGAGACCTCATCTCTACAAAAAAAAAAATTAGGTGGGCATGGTGACATGTGCCTGTAGTTCCAGCTACTCAGGAGGCTGACATGGGAGCATCACTTGAGCCCTGGAGGTCGAGGCTGCAGTGAGCCGTGATTGTACCACTACACTCCAGCCTGGGTGACAGGGTCAGCCTGGATGGCAGAGCCTGTCTCAAAAACAAACCAACAAATACAAAACCAAAAAAACTTAGATGTATCTGAGGCAGGATTTCTCAACCTCAGCCCTGTCGGCATCTTGCAGGGGATAATTCTCTGCATTGGAGGCTCCTGTGCAATGCAGGCTGTTGAGCAGCATCTCTGGCTTCCACCCACCAGGATGCAGTAGTACTTTCCCCACTGCCCCCACCCATTACGGCAGCCACAAAAGTTTCTGGACATTGCCAAATGTCTCTTGGGAGGCAAATTTGCCCCCTGTTGAGAACAAATGATCTATTTCAATGGTTATCAAAGTGTGGTCCCGAGTAACATCGACATCACTGGGGAACTGACTAGAAATGCAAATTAATTCTCAGGTGTCATTCTAGACCTACTGAGCCAGAAACTATGGCTGCGGGACCCAGAAATCTGTAGTTTAGAAAGTTCTCCCCGTGATTCTGTTGTGTGCTAATGTTTGAGAAGCGTGCCCTGGCTGCATGTCAGAGTCACTTTCGGAGCTTTTGCAAGCCCCTGTGTGGACCCTGCCCCAGACCAAGCAATCAGAGTCTCTAGGGACCAGGCCCAGGCATCAGTATTTTTCAGGGCCCTCCAGGTGATCCTAATGGGAGTCACTGATCTAATGGGAAATGCTTTAGCTTGGCTTAAATTCTAAGAAGGCAATGCAACTGTCCATTGTACGAGTCAATTAGGACATCATGCCACCCAGTAATTACAACCGGAAGAGGATGCTGGGGAATGTTCTGCACTGTCCATAATCAATAATGGTGTTTGAAAGTCCCTCTGGCAACACTGCTTCCTGCCCTGCATCTCTGGGTCATCTGAAATGCACCTGGCCTTGATGCTAAGAATGGGAGACCTGACAGATATGAGGCCGGTCAATCCCCGGTCATTCCCAACTGGGTCAGTCCTCTTGGATTACAAAGGAAAGTGCATGGGCTATTAAGTACTCACAGGCTAAGTGCAGTGAACTGATTGTATCAAAATATATGAATGCATTATTAGAAGTAATATGAGTTCCATTATGCATTTCAGTGTTCAGTAACTAGGATAGTTAATACATTCCCTTTGTAGGGGTTGTGTGCTGAGACCTTGCTTCCTTGAAACATTTTCAGGAATGTGACATAACACATATTTTGGATTGCAAAAGTATCTCACCCAGAGGCAGCCAAAGAGACTTTGTTTATAAGCCTGTACATCTACCTTCGCCAAGGACAGCAGTGGATTCAGATGGATTTACAGTGCCTGCTCTGTGCTCAAATTCCAGCTCCTTTCAAACATCCCAATCCAAACAATCCCCCTGCCCTGCTAAGATTTCTGCCAAAATTGTCTAACCAGTCTCTACAGGTCTCTCCTTTCAGCTCCCGTCTTAGCCAAAGCCCCCTTCATCTCTCAGCTGGGCGGGAAACACAGCCTCCCCATTCATCTTCCTGTGTCCATCTGAAACCCTCCAATTTACTATCTGTGATGCTGTCAGGATAATCTTTTCAAGATGCAAACCTGATTGGGCATGGTGGCTCACTCCTGTAATCCCAGCACTTTGGGGGCTGAAGTGGGCAAATCACTTGAGGTCAGGAGCTCGAGAACAGACTGGCCAACATGGTGAAACCTTGTCTCTACTAAAAATGCAAAAATTAGCCAGGCATGATGGTGGGCGCCTGTAGTCCCAGCTACTCAGGAGGCTAGGGCAGGAGAATTGCTTGAACCTGGGAGGTGGAGGTTGCAATAAGCTAAAGTCATGCCACTTCACTCCAGCCTGGGCAACAGAGCAAGACTCCATCTTAAAAATAAAAAGATGCAAACATGGTTTTATTAGTTTCCTGTGGCTGCTGTAATAAATTCCCACAAACTTGGTGGCTTGAAGCAATAGAAATTTATTCTGTCAAGATCTGGAGCCCAGAAGTTTGAAATCAATTTTACTGATTTCAAAGATCGAGGGATTGGCAGAGCCATGCCCCCCCTGAGGCTCTAGGGAAGGATCCTTCCTTGCCTCTTCCTTGGCAGCTTCTGGTGGCTGCCAGCATCCCCTGGCTTACAGCCACATCACTCCGGTCTCTGCCTCTGAGGTTATATTGCCTCCCCTTCTCTCTGTGTAAAATATCTTGCTCAGCATCTCCCTTATCAGGACACTTACAATGGTACCTAGGGCCACACACACAATCCAGGATAAATTCCTCATCTCAAGATCCTCAAAGTGGATCCTCAAAGACCCACTTTCCAGATAAGGTAGCGTTGATAGATTCCAGGAGTTAGGACGTGGCTGTCTTCATTTGGGGGCTGTCATTTTTCAGCCTTCCATACTGACCAAGGTACTCCCCCATCTGCCATGGAAGCCCTTAGATGCTGCCCACCTCCCGACCTCACCTTACTCCCTTCCCCTACCTTCCTGTACACTAGCCATACTGGCCTTCTCTTGGTTCCTTAAACCTGGGTGACAGCTACACTCAGGGTGCCACCTTGGTGAAAAATTAGAAAACCACATCCCTTGCTAGGCAGACACAGCCCTGTGCCCCGAGCCCTGAGCTCCGAGCTTGGTAGTGCACTGAGGCTGGTTTCTGCACCCAGTCAGCTCCCAATCACCCCCTTGGTATATATGCAGTACACACAGTACACAAGTACCCACTGTCACTCTGCGGATAGCCCTTTGTTGAACCTGCCACAGGGTCTTTGCACAGGCTGCTTCCTCTCTCTTCACCTGACTAGTTCTTGGCCCCCTCCCAACATCAGCTCAAAAATCACCTCACCAGAAAATCTTTCCTGCCTTAATCCAGGATGGGGACCTTTTTTTTTTTTTTTTTTTTTTTGAGACAGGATATTGCTCTGTTGCCCAGGCTGGAGTATGGTAGCATGATCTCAGCTCACTGCAACCTCTGCCTCTTGGGTTCAAGTGATTCTCATGCCTTAGCCTCCCAAGTAGCTGGGATTACAGGTATGCACCATGATATCTGGCCAGTTTTTGTATTTTTAGTAGAGATGGGGTTTTGCCATGTTGGCCAGGCTGGTCTTGAACTCCTGACCTCAAGTGATCCGCCCACCTCAGCTCCCCAGAATGATGGAATTACAGATGTGAGCCACCATACCTGGCCTAGGATGAGTGCCTTTGTTCTAATCATTCATGGAATGGTCTGCTCTTTCACTTCATTATTCATCTCTGTTTGTAATTATATACTTACTAGTGTAGTTTTAAAAATTAATATCTGCCTCTCTTACCAAACCAGAGACTCAGATAGGTCATATTCCGTATCTACTTTTCTTAGCACTATGCCCCCAGTGCATGCAGTAAGTACTCAATAAATACTGAATGAACGAATGATGCACATAAAGAGTTAACCAACACTGCCTTACCTGGTGGAACCAGCCAGATTGGTGTGGCATGCTCTGGGTTGGATGTCAACTGAGGAGACTCTTTGAGAACTGCAGTTCTCTCCCCTACACTTGGGATCCTGGTGAGGGTGGGCAACCTGAATGCCCCCCTACTCCTAGAAGGCAGAGCCTGAGGCCAGAGTTTGCCACAGGGAGCTACACTCCTGGAGGAAGTTGGGGCTTAGCCAGTCGAGGAGTTGCCTTCAGATTAACTTACATAATTGGGCTGGGGTTTTCTGTATTAATCATCCTTTATGACATTAGAAATTAAACACAGACATGAAATGCAAAAGCTTTGTCCTCTGCTTGTTGAAGTCATTGATGCTTGCCCACTCCAGAAGATTCAGCCACCTGTGCTCTGGGGTTTAATGTCTCTCTGCTCCTGCCCCTCTGTAGGTACAAGGGGAGGGGAAGGGCTCCCTAAGGGGATGGAGACCTCGACCCACCCCTTCCTCTGCTTGGCTTCTGGGTTCTCTCTGGTTGAAGGGTCCTGCCCCCTGGATGCTCCTGAGGATGACAGCACTGGTTGAGGATCTGAGAGTCCTATGGATTTGACTCCCAACTCTACTATATATCACATGTATGCTCATGGCCAAGCTGTTGTTTCCCCACCTGTGAATGATGATAACAATATCTCTCTATGAAGGCTGACTGATACCCAGCCTACAGGAAGTGCTCACTGGGAAGCTGAGATCACCACCATTTATCAATTGCACACTGTGTGTCAAGCACGGGCCTCATCTAATCCTCCCAGCTAGTCAATATGCAGAGATTTTTATCTGTAAGATGGCATTGTCACCTCCATCTTACAGATAAAAATCCCAAAAATATGAGCAGTCAAGTAATGTTATCGCAAATGGCAGAGCTGGGATTCAAACCAAGGTCAGTCAGAACCTAGATGCTAGAAGGCTAATTGTTTTACTGTCATTTAGGAACATGTTTGTCTAATCTGCTAAGCCACAAATGGGTCCGAGAGCAATTGTATTTTACTCATCTTCCTTCTTTCTGTTTTTCCTAATACTATGCACACTGCTGAGCACACCATGGGAACGCAGTAAATGTCTCTTACACAGAAACAACTAGCCCAGCCCTCTTATGGAGGACAAGGGTGAGTGGCTTCTTAAAAGCCAGCACCTTCATGGAGGATAAAGGTGGCAACGGATATAATTAGAAACCATTCATTCTCTCTCACTTGTACTCATCCTGTCCTTCCAGGTCAGCTGAGTCCATCCTTTGGGGGATGCTCAGAAATGGCCAGAGCAGAAAAAAAGGCAATGTGTTCACCCCAAATGTGTGCTGGTGCCCTGCCAAGGACATTTCAAGTCAAAGACCTGGATATCAGTTGTTCCTTATTCTAAAGGGAAGCCTGGTTTCACGCCCTTCCCTCCCACCAAAGCAGGCCTAATGCCAGACCAGTGGCTGAATGCTTTGAGATGAATATTTTCAAAAACACCGTGTAAAATGTCATGCCAGGGAGGTGAAATGGCAGAAGGTCTCTTTAAAGCTTTTGTGGGGGGGAAAAGGGAAGGGGCCAGATGAAGACTCTAAGCTCCATCTTCTCTTTCAGGGTATGGCTACATCTACCCCGTCACCAGGCTTGGCAAGTACTTGTGCATGCTCTACGCTCTCTTTGGTATCCCCCTGATGTTCCTCGTGCTCACAGACACAGGCGACATCCTGGCAACCATCTTATCCACATCTTACAATCGGCTCCAAAAATCCCCTTTCTTTACGCGCCCTCTCTCCAAGTGGTGCCCCCAGTCTCTCTTCAAGAAAAAAACAGACCTCAAGCCCACAGATGAAGCCGTCCCTCAGATCATCATCAATGCTGAAGAGCTTCCAGGCCCCAAACCTGGCACATGTCCTTCACGCCCAAGCTGCAGCATGGAGCTCTTTGAGAGACTTCGTGCGCAAGAGAAACAGAACACACTGCAACTGCCCCCACAGACCATGGAGAGGAGTAGCTCATGTCCCGAATTGGTGCTAGGGAGACTCTCGTACTCCATCATCAGCAACCTGGATGAAGTCGGACAGCAAGTGGAGAAGTTGGACATCCCCCTCCCCATTGTTGTCCTGATTGTTTTTGCCTACATTTCCTGTGCAGCTGCCATCCTTCCCTTCTGGGAGACAGAGTTGGATTTTGAGAATGCCTTCTATTTCTGCTTTGTCACGCTGACCACCATTGGGTTTGGGGATACTGTTTTAGAACACCCTAATTTCTTCCTGTTCTTCTCCATTTATATCATCGTTGGAATGGAGATTGTGTTCATTGCTTTCAAGTTGGTGCAAAACAGGCTGATTGACATCTACAAAAATGTTATGCTATTCTTTGTAAAAGGGAAGTTTTACTGCCTGGTTAAAAAGTGAAGGTTTCATTATCTCTCAAGTGACGGACACTGGCTGAGCTGGTTTTCTTATGTTGTCTTTCAGGGTCATGTGATTAAATCAGTGGCACTGCAGCCTGTCACCTGAGACCTTGAGTCTTGGAGACAAATCCCTTATGAAAGCTGAGTTCAGTCTTGAGGGCCTGCAGAAATTTGGCCAGTGCCCTTTGTATCAGGACATTAGGGGAAAAAAAACTATTACCATTCTCCAAAGTCCAGTGAATTTATCTGTCCTCTTTTTTTTAAAGGCATCACCTCATGTAGATGAAGCAACCTTATGGATGTCACTGCTTTTCTTAAAATATGAGAAAAAACACCTTTATTCTTGGAAGTTGTACTTTTAGTTAAATTAAAATTTTCCTGAACTGTTCTTTTTTACCTGAAAAAGAACTAGTGTGAACAACCTCTTTTCTTGAATGACTACCTGAGTGCATATAAGATCAGTCCAATCCCAGCCCCTGTCGAATACATAGATGCTGGATGGCACCAAAATGGCGAAGTAGAAGCAATTGGGCTTCACTGTCCCTTATAGAAAACCAAAAACAACTATCTAGTGCCAAGATAATAACCACTGATATCACAGAACTCAAAACTGAGGGTTTGACAAACCCTGGGGCCACAGAAAAGTGAAAAACAGTGAGTGGAAGGTAGGTAAAATGGACTTCTCTGTGACACCCCTTCCCTGAACTGTAAGTCACCATGTGGAAATGTTCCCTGGACTCATGATTTCAACACTAGAAAAAAGGAAGATCAAGGCAGCCAGCCGGCTTCCTCATCATCTTGAGTACCTATTCAGGAAAGCTTTCCTGCCTCAATCCACAGAAAGAATCATGAATACTTGTAGGGCAAGGGACCCCTGAAAGCTTCTGGAGTCCTGTCGACATTGGAGGTGGGGCTGGCAGCCCAGTGAGTGAAACTCTGGGGCTGCTCTTCATCTCAGACAAACAAGACGCTAAATAAGAGAGGTAGTTCAGCAGCACCACATTTTAAGAGGCACTCACCAGAGCCCCTCTGGGCAAGAAGCCCTAGCCAGACCCTCAAAACACAGCTGGAGAATCCCCATTGGTGCCCTTTATCTGTGACAAGGCAGAGCTTTGAACTTTCACAAGAGTCATGACAAACATGGACTTAGGGTACTATTTAGTGCTGAAAAGGAGGCAGTGATCTAGGGCTAAAGGAACCAATAGGCAAAGTGCACAGAACATCTAAACATACATATCCTAAAGAGACCAAACTAACCCAGGCAGCAAAGACTGGAATAAATAACCATTCAAAGTGAAGACATACATGTACGTCCATAAGAAACTGCTACACCAGGAACCATGACTTCTTCAAATGGGCAAAGCAAAGAGCCAGTGAGTGATTGGCCCAAACAAGATGGTAATCTGTGAGCTCTCAGATCAGGAATTCAAAATAGCAGTCTTAAGAAAACACAACAAATGCCTAGGTAACACAGAAAACCAATTCAGAAACCTATCAGAGAAATTTAACAAAGAGATTAAAATAATTTTAAAATATCAAACAGAAGTCTTGGAACTGAAAAGGACATTAGCTGAACTAAAAAACACATCACAAGGTCTCAACAACAGAACAGATCAAGCAGAGGAAAGAATTAATGAAATCGAAGACAAGCTATTTGAAAATATACATTTGAAGGAGAAAAAAGAAAACAATGAAAAGGAATAAAGAATGCCTACAAAATCTAGAAAATAACCTCAGAGGAGCAAATCTAGGAGTAATGGTTTTCAAGAGGGAACTGAGAAAGAACAAGGCGGCAGAAGGCTTATTCAAAGAAATAATAGCAGTAACCTTTCCAAGCCTAGAGAAAGATATAAATATGCCAGGTACAGGAAGGTCAAAAATCACCAAACAGATTTAACCCAAATAAAATGGCCCCAAAGCACAGAATAATCAGATTCACAAAGGTCAAGGACAAAGAGAAGATGCTAAAAGCAGCAAGAGAAAATAAGCAAACAACAGGTAAAGAAGCTCTGATTCATCTGGCAACAGACTTCTCAGCAGAAAGCATATAGACCTGGAGAGGGTAGGATGACATATTCAAAGTGCTGAAGGTAAAAAGACCTGTCAACTGAGAATACTGTACCCAGCAAAGCTATCATTCAAACATGAGCTGAGGGAATTCATCATCACCAGTACTGTCTTACAGAATTGCTAAAGGGAGTTGTTTAATCTGGAAGAAGAAAAGAAAATTATTGTGCAACAAAGACATCATCTGATAGTACAAAACTCACTGGTAAAAGTAAGTACACAGACACATTCAGAATACTCTTTTACTGTAATTGTGGTGTGTAAACCACTCATTTCTCTAGTATGAAGACTAAAAGACAAATTATCAATAATAATAACCAGAACAATTTGTTAAGAGATAGGCAATATAAAAATGTAAATTAAGACAATAAAAAGTCAGAATATAGGGGAATGGAGTTAAAGTATAGGGTTTTTTAGTTTTTTTCTTTTCTTTGTGACCAAAGTTGTCATCTATTCAAATAACTTGTTAACTATGTTTTTTGTAAACCTCACAGTAATCACAAAGCAATCACAAAACCTAACATAGATACACTAAAAATAAGAAGCAGAGAATTGAAACCTACTACCAGGGAAAATCACTTAAAATATACTGACGTCACAGAGTGGAATTGACACCTGTGTTCACAGGGGTCTGAGATATTTCCAGTGACCAGATTCTGTTTCTAATTGGTGTGTTAATGGTGCCTCTGGAATGAGTTGGCCTCTGAAAACATCGATGCCTAAATGAAAGCATTAGTACATGGGAACGCTGGCACTTGTTAGGTAGACATACTCCTAGGCTGTTCATGGATGGGTTAGCATGTGAATGGGCTGGTCTGTGTAGCAGATGCTACAGGTGCCCTATCCATATGTCTTGGCACTACAACTCCCTTTGCTTGAGAATTTTCTCTGGCCATGAAAGCATGGGAATGTGCAGGGCTAGCTAAAAGTGCCAAGGAGTTAATCCTTTTGGGAGCATCCCTCAATCAATGACTGATGGGAGCTGGTAGATATATGGTGCCCAGCTCCCTTCCCCTTCCCATGGAATAACTCCTTGGGATGTTTAATACTGATACTGTCTCCCTAAATTCCCCAGAGGACTTGAGCCCCAGTTGCTTATCTGTACACCCTGTATTGACCCCCTTCATCTCCCTGTCTCACTTCTTCACTGCTCTACTTGGGCTTCCTGAGATCACCTCCAAAAGAACCACTCACTCAAATCCTGTTTCAGGGTCACTCCTGGGGACCCCAGCCTGGGAGAGGATGTAAACAAGTCAGTATATGACCTGGTTGGCACACGCATGGAATAGCACAAATCTTTTTTTTAATGATTTTTTAATTGCATTTTAGGTTTTGGGGTACATGTAAAGAACATATAAGATTGTTGTATAGGTACACACATGGCAATGTGGTTTGCTGCCTTCCTCCCCATCACCTGTATCTGGCATTTCTCCCCATGTTATCCCTCCCCAACTCCCCACCCGCTGCTGTCCCTCCCCCATTCCCCCCCAAAGACCCCTGAGTGTGTGATGCTCCCCTCCCTGTGTCCACGTGTTCTCATTGTTCAACTCCTACCTATGAGTGAGAATATGCAGTGTTTGGTTTTCTGTTCTTGTGTCAGTTTGCTGAGAATGATGGTTTCCAGGTTCATCCATGTCCCTACAAAGGACACAAACTCATCGTTTTTGATGGCTGCATAGTATTCCATGGTGTATATGTGCCACATTTTCTCTGTCAGTCTATCATTGATGGGCATTTGGGTTTGTTCCAAGTCTTTGTTATTGTAAACAGTGCTGCAATGAACATTCATGTGCATGTGTCCTTATAATAGAATAATTTATAATCCTGTGAATATATACCTAGTAATGGGATTGCTGGGTCAAATGAAATTTTTCCTTGAGGAAGTGCCACACTGTCTTCCACAATGGTTGAACTAATTTACACTCCCACCAACAGTGTAGAAGTATTCCTGTTTCTCTACATCCTCTCCAGCATCTGTTGTCTCCAGATTTTTTAGTGATCACCATTCTAACTGGCGTGAGATGGTATCTCAATGTGGTTTTGATTTGCCTTTCTCTAATGACCAGTGATGTTGAGCATTTTTTCATATGTTTGTTGGCCTCATGAATGTCTTCTTTTGTAATATGTCTGTTCATATCCTTCACCCACTTTTGAATGGGCTTGTTGGTTTTTTTCTTGTAAATCTGTTTTCATTCTTTATAGATTCTGGATATCAGCCCTTTGTCAGATGGGTAGATTGCAAAAATTTTTTCCCATTCTGTTGGTTGCCAATTCACTCTAATGACTGTTTCTTTTGCTGTGCAGAAGCTCTGGAGTTTTATTAGGTCCTATTTGTCTATTTTGGCTTTTGTTGCCAATGCTTTTGGTGCTTTAGTCATGAAGTCCTTGCCTATGCCTTTGTCCTGAATGGTTTTGCCTAGGTTTTCTTCTAGGGTTTTTATGGTGTTAGGTCTTATGTTTAAGTCTTTAATCCATCTGGAGTTAATTCTAGTGTAAGGTGTCAGGAAGGGGTCCAGTTTCTGCTTTCTACACATGGCTAGCCAGTTTTCCCAACACCATTTATTAAACAGGGACTCCTTTTCTCATTGCTTGTTTTTGTGAGGTTTGTCAAGGATCAGATGGTTGTAGATGTGTGGCGTTGCCTCCAAGGCCTCTGTTCTGTTCCATTGGTCTATATCTCTGTTTTGGTACTAGTACCATGCTGTTTTGATTACTGTAGCCTTGTAGTATAGTTTGAAATCTGGTAGTGTGATGACTCCTGCTGTGTTCTTCTTGCTTAGAATTGACTTGGCTATGTGGGCTCTCTTTTGGTTCCATATGAAGTTTAAGGTGGTTTTTTCCAATTCTGTGAAGAAGGTCATTGGTAGCTTGATGGGGATAGCATTGAATCTGTAAATTACTTTGAGCAGTATGGCCATTCTCACAATATTGATTCTTCCTAACCATGAGCATGGAATGTTTCTCCATCTGTTTGTGTCCTCTCTTATTTCATTGAACAGTGGTTTGTAGTTCTCCTTGAAGAGGTCCTTTACATTCTTTGTTAGTTGTATTCCTAGGTATTTTATTCTCTTTGTAGCAATTGTGAATGGAAGTTCATTCTTGATTTGGCTCTCTTTAAGTCTGTTATTGGTGTACGGGAATGCTTGTGATTTTTGTATCCTGAGAATTTGCTGAAGTTGCTTATCAGTTTCAGGAGATTTTGGGCTGAGACAATGGTGTCTTCTAAATATACAATCATGTCATCTGCAAATAGAGACAATTTGACTTCCTCTTTTCCTAATTGAATACCTTTTATTTCTTTTTCTTGCCCGATTGCTCTGGCTAGAACCTTCCAATACTATATTGAATAGGAGTGGTGAGAGAGGGCATCCTTGTCTGGTGCCAGATTTCAAAGGGAATGCTTCCAGTTTTTGCCCATTCAGTATAATATTGGCTGTGGGTTTGTCATAAATAGCTTTTACTATTTTGAGATACAGTCCATCAATACCTAGTTTATTGAGGGTTTTTAGCATAAAGGGCTGTTAAATTTTGTCAAAGGCCTTAACTGCATCTATTGAGATAATCATGTGTTTTTTGTCTTTGGATCTGCTTATGTGGTGAATTACATTTATAGACTTGCGTATGTTGAACCAGCCTTGCATCCCCGGGATGAATCCTACTTGATCATGGTGGATAAGCTTTTTGATGTGCTGTTGCAATGAGTTTGCCAGTATTTTATTCAAGATTTTTGCATCTATGTTCAACACCGATACTGGTCTGAAATTTTCTTTTCTTGTTGAGTCTCTGCTGGGTTTTGGTATCAGGATGATGTTGGTCTCATAAAATGATTTGGGAAGGATTCCCTCTTTTTGGATTGTTTGGAATAGTTTCAGAAGGAATGGTACCAGCTCCTCTTTGTATGTCTGGTAGAATTCATCTGTGAACCCATCTGGACCCATGTTTTTTTTGGTGGTAGGCTATTAATTGCTGTCTCAACTTCAGCCCTTGTTATTGGTGTATTCAGGGTTTTGACTTCTTCCTGGTTTAGGCTTGGGAGGATGCAGGTGTCCAGGAATTTATCCATTTCTTCCAGGTTTACTAGTTTATGTGCATAGAGTTGTTTGTAATAATCTCTGATGATGGTTTGTATTTCTGTGGAATCTGTGGTGATATCCCCTTTATTGTTTTTTTATTGCATCCATTTGACTATTCTCTCTTTTCTTTTTTATTAATCTGGCTAGTGGTCTGTCTATTTTGTTGATCTTTTCAAAAAACCAACTCCTGGTATTGATTTTTTGAAGGTTTTTTTTTTTTTTTGTCTCTATCTCCTTCAGTTCCGCTCCGATCTTAGTTATTTCTTGTCTTCTGCTAGCTTTTGAGTTTTCTTGATCTTGCTCCTCTAGCTCTTTCAATTTTGATGATAGGGTGTCGATTTTAGATATTTCCTTGCTTCTCATGTGGGCATTTATTGCTATATATTTTCCTCTAGACACTGCTTTAAATGTGTCCCAGAGATTCTAGTATGTTGTGTCTTCATTCTTGGTTTTGAAGAACATCTTTATTTATGCCTTCATTTCATTATTTATCCAGTCAACATTCAAGAGCCAGTTGCTCAGTTTCCAAGAAGCAATGCAGTTCTGAGTTAGTTTCTGAATTCTGAGTTCTAACTTGATTACACTGTGGCCTGAGAGACTGTTTGCTATGATTTCCACTCTTTTGCATTTGCTGAGGAGTGATTTACTTCCAATTATGTGGTCAGTTTTAGAGTAGGTGTGATGTGGTGCTGAAAAGAATATATATTCTGTGGATTTGGGGTGGAGAGTTCTGTAAACGTCTATCAGGTTTGCTTGGTCCAGGTCTGAGTTCAAGTCCTGGATATCCTTGTTAATTTTCTGTCTGGTTGATCTGTCTAATATTGACAGTGGAGTGTTAAAGTCTCCCACTATTATTGTGTGGGAGTCATATCTCTTTGTAAATCATTAAGAACTTGCTTTATGTATCTGCGTGCTCCTGTATTGGGTGCATATATATTTAGGATCATTAGCTCTTCTTGTTGCATTGATCCTTTTACCATTATGTAATGTCCTTCTTTGTTTCTTTTGATCTTTTTTGGTTTAAAGTCTATTTTTTCAGAGACTAGGATTGCAACTCCTGCTTTTTTTCTTTTTCTCTCCATTTGCTTGGTAAATCTTCCTCCATCCCTTTATTTTGAGCCTTTGTGTATCCTTGCATGTGAAATGGGTTTCCTGGATACAGAACACCAATGAGTTTTGGCTTTTTATCCAATTTGCTAGTCTGTGTCTTTTGATTGGGGCCTTTATCCCATTTACATTTAGGGTTAATATTGTTATGTGTGAATTTGATCCTGTCATTTTGATGTTCGCTGGCTGTTTTGCCCATTAGTTGATGCAGTTTCTTCATTGTGTCGATGCTCTTTACCATCTGGTATGTTTTTTGAATAGCTGGTACTGGTTGTTCCTTTCTATGTTTAGTGCTTCTTTCAGGAGCTCTTGTAAAGCAGGCCTGGTGTTGACGAAATCTCTGAGTAATTGCTTGTTTGTAAAGGATTTCTCCTTCGCTTATAAAGCTTAGTTTGGCTGGATATGAAATTCTGGGTTGAAATTTCTTTTCTTTAAGGATGTTGAATATTGGCCCCCACTCTCTTCTGGCTTGCAGGGTTTCTGCTGAGAGATCCACGGTGAGTCTGATGGGCTTCCCTTTGTGAGTAACCCAGCCTTTCTCTCTGGCTGCCCTTAGCATTTTCTCCTTCATTTCAACCCTGGTGAATCTGATGATTATGTGCCTTGGGATTGCTCTTCTTGAGGAATATCTTTGTGGTGTTCTCTGTATTTCCTGGACTTGAATATTGCCTGCCTTGCTAGGTTGGGGAAATTTTCCTGGATAATATCCTGAAGAGTATTTTCCAGCTTGTATTAATTCTCTCTGTCACATTCAGGTACACTATCAAACGTAGATTAGGTCTCTTCACATAGTCCCATATTTCTTGGAGACTTTGTTCATTTCTTTTTACCTTTTTTCTCTAATCTTGCCTTCTCATTTTATTTCGTTGAGTTGATCTTTGACCTCTGATATCCTTGCTTCTGCTTGGTTGATTCGGCTATTGAAACTTGTGCATGCTTCGCGAAGTTCTTGTGTTATGTTTTTCAGCTCCTTCAATTCATTTATATTCCTCTCTAAGCTGTTTATTCTTGTTAGCATTTTGCCAAACTCTTTTCAAGGTTCTTAGTTTCTTTGCATTGGGTTAGAACATGTTCTTTTAGCTTAGAGAATTTTTTTATTACCCACCTTCTGAAGCCTGTTTCTGTCAATTCATCAGACTCATTCTCTATCCTGCCTTGTTCTTTTGCTGGTGAGGAGTTATGATCCCTTGGAGGAGGAGAAGCATTCTGGTTTTAGGTGTTTTCATCCTTTTTGCACTGGTTTCTTCCCATCTTTGTAGATTTATTTACCTGTGGTCTTTGTAGTTGTTGACTTTCAGATTGGGTCTCTGAGTGGATGTCCAGTTTGTTGATGATTAAGTTATTTCTTTCTTAGTTTTCCTTCTAATAGTCAGGCCTGTCTGCTGTAAACTGCTGGAGGTCTACTCCTGGCCCTGCTTGCCTGGGGATCACCTGCAGCAGCTGCAGAACAGTAAGGGTTACTGCCAGTTTCTTCTTCTGCTATCTTTGTCCCAGAAGGATACCTGCCAGATGTCAGTCTGAACTCTCCTTTATGAGGTGACTCTTTGGATATATGGGGGTCAGGGAGCTGTTTGCGGAGATAGTCTGTCCCTTATAGGAGCTCAAGTGCTGAGCTGTGAGCTCCGTTGGTCCATTCAGAGTTGCTGGGCAGGTACGTTTAAGTCTGCTGCAGCAGAACTCATAAACGCCTTTTCCCCCCTCCCCACACCCCAGGTGCTCTGTCCTGGGAAGGTAGGGCTTTATTTACAAGTTTCTGTCATTCTACTGCCCTTTTTCAGGACTGTCCTGCCCAGCGAGGAGGCAGTCTAGTCACAGTCTGCCAGCAGAGGCTTTGCTGAGCTGCTGTGGGCTCTGCCCAGCTGCCGTGTGAACTTCCCTACAGTCCTGTTTGTAGGGGTATAATTAGAAGTACCTTGGCAATGGTGGCCCACCTCTGTAATGGCAGACTCTCTCTATAATGGCAATCTGCCTTGGCAATGGCAGGCTGCCTCGGTAATGGCAGAGTACCTCAGCAATAGCGGACTACCTCGGTACTGGTGGACTGCCTCGGTAATGGTGGACACAGCTCCCCCACAGAGCTGGACCATCTCAGGTTCAGCTGTGCTTGCTGTGAAACTCTCAATCCAGATCATTTCAGATTGCTGTTTTTTGTGGGGGTGGGACAGGCCAAGCCTGATCACCTGGCTCCCTGCCTCAGACCCCCTTTTTTTCAGTTGAATGGGCAACTCTGTCTTCCAGGCGTCCCAGTCACCCGTTGAAATGGCGCCCAGATTTGTGTGATTTCTGGTACGCAGACCCACTGCACTGACTGAAACAGCCACTGGAGACTTGTGGCGCTTTTTCTTGCTGGGGAATCTCCTGGCCTAGCTCCCTGTTTCAGTCCCCTTTTTTTCAGTTGAATGGGTGACTCTGTCTCCCAGGCATTCCAGTTGCCAGTTGAAAAGGTGCCTGGATTGGTGGAGATTTTGTGCAGAGACCCACTGCATCGGCTCAAACAGTCGTACTGGGGTCTTGTGGTGCTTTTTTGCCCGAGAATCTCCTGGCCTGGCTCCCTGTTTCAGTCCCCTTTTTTTCAGTTGAATGGGTGACTCTGTCTCCTAGGTGTTCCAGTCACCTGTTGAAAAGGTGCCTGGATCTGTGTGATTTCCCAAGCGGCGACCCACTGTGCAGGCCTGGACCTGTGTATTTTGTATGGACACCTGCTGTGCTAGTGATCCATGGGGCTCCTCTGCCCAGGAATCTCCTGGTCTGTGGGCAATAAAAATCCATCTGGAAATGCAGCATCCACTCACCCTCCACATTCTCACTGGGAGCTGCAATCCAGAGCTGCTCCTAATCAGCCATCTTTGATCCCCCCAGCACAAATCTTTTACTATTTCCCTTTTTGGTTATTAGAAATTTTATTTGTTTGCTTTCAAGACAGAGTCTTTATCTGTCACCCAGGCTGGAGTGCAATGGTGCGATCTCTCACTGCATCTCCACTTCCCAGGTTCAAGTGATTCTCCTTTCCTCAGCCTCCCAAGTAGCTGGCATTACAGGCACCTACCACCACGCCTGGCTAATTTTTGTATTTTTAGTAAAGACAGGGTTTTGCCATGTTGGCCAGGCTGGTCTCAAACTTCTGACCTCAGGTGATCCACCTGCCTTGGTCTCCCAAAGTGCTGGGATTATAGGTATGAGCCACTGCACCCAGTCTAGAAATGTTTTCTGACTAGAACTTGCTTGAAAAAAATTTGCAAAAATAAATCTGTCTTCTACAATTAGCAAAATTAATCAGTCCCTGGGGAAATGGTGCATATTGGTACAGGCTGTAGCATAGAAATTGCAAAAACCAAGAAAAAATGTCAAGAGGTGCCCCCTTGAAACTAAAATAAGCACCTGTCTTTTAAGTCTTGATTCATCTTAGGTCTTGGCCAATGCCAAGGCTATCTCTCAGAGAGGGCTTCCTGGATCTTTACCCTCTTCCCTACAACTGTCAGGCTTTCTGCCCCTCCAACCCTTGAAGACCTACTTCTGGCAATGGAATTGAAGAACCAATGAAAGACACAAAGCACCAATAGTGGGATTTCAGGGAGTAGTCATAGGCACTAAAGTTTTTGTGGAGTTTCTTGACATTCCTCAGACCACATTAGCCCAATTAAGTTACAGGAAAACCTTGAAACCAAATGCAATCAACACTAGCCACTCAAGTAGGAGGCCATGATCGCACTGAAGGGTTGTTCCTTCAGTTCAACAACATTCACTGAATGCTGGATATTTTCTGGGATCAGAGTATCCAAACATGAATCAGCAGCATCCTCAGAAACAGGTAAATTCATTCCCGGTGGTACTGAACCTCTCAGTCACTCCCTTCTTGAGGCAATAGCAAGTCCTGTTCAAATGCAAACATGGTGGTCATCAGGGATGCACATTATGCAAATTAAAGGCCATGATCATTTGCTTATTTTATTTGCTAGTCGGAATTCTTCCATGGTTCTGAGGAAATGGTCCAGTGTGTCCCCCTGCCCCTTGTTTCTTGCTCCCACTTGAGCTGTTTACTCCTGTGCTCCTGGACAGACATGTGAGTTAGTTCCTTTAAGCCTTTGTTCAGTGGTTCTCAACCTTGCCGGCACACTGACACCTGGGCAGTGTTAGACATTTTTGGCGCTCCCCTCCCCCCCATCTTAGTGAGTGCAGGCTGCTATAACAAATTACCATAGACTGGGTGACTTCAACAACTAAAATTTATTTCTCATGGTTATGGGGACTGGAAGTCCAAGATCAGAAAGCAAGAATGGTTGGGTTCTTGGTGAGGGTCCTCTTCCTGGTACATGCACAGAGAGAGAGAGAGAGATTGACAGAAAGAGAGAGAGGCTGGAGTGCAGTGGCACGATCTTGGCTTACTGCAACCTCCGCCTCCTGGGTTCAAGTGATTCTCCTGCCTCAGCTTCCCAAGTAGCTGGGGCTACAGGCATGTGGTATTTTTAGTAGAGACAGGGTTTCAGAGTGTTAGCCAGGATGGTCGTGATCTCATGATCTGCCCACCTCAGCCTCCCAAAGTGCCAGGATTATAGGCATGAGCCACCATGTCCAGCTGCCTCTTTCTCTTTTTATAAGGGCATTAATCCTATTATGAAGGCTCCAACTTCATGATGTCATCTAAACATATCAC